ATAAATTAAAAAAAAAAAAGTCAGATGTGGCAGCCAGTGTCTGGAAAGAGACGCTATGCTGGCATGACTACTTTAGAGTGCCTCGTTGTTGCGGCGCGGAAAATCCATGTGACAACTTCATGGGCTGTAGTACAGCCAGCAGGCTTAAAACATATATATTTTTGCTCCTGAAACGTGTGGTTAGGTGTAGATGTGATTTTATTTATTGTTTTTAATAATTTAAATTTGGCAGAGTTGTAAACACTATTCTCTGTGGTGCACCCTATTTAGGTTTTCACTTTATGACTTTGCTTTCGAGAGACACAGGAATGGCACTGTTCTTTTTACTCTTTGACATGAGACTGAAAAAAATAATCAATTTAAAAAAATCTTAATTTAATTTCTGTGTCTATAGAGTGCCATAGAGGACTACACTCTCCCAAGCAACAAAGACAACATCTGGTGAGAATAATTCTGCGCCAGCTGCACGTTTCTGCATCATCACTCGCCACTTTTCCGCCACCTGAGAAACTTGTTGTCACACTGCCATCATGTGTTCAGTTACGTCATGTTTTTAAACCCATGACATTTTACCCACCCTATTTATTGTGATTGTTGTACCAAATAAAGTTTTTATTTTCCGGTAACTCATTTAGATTTTTTTTTGTTTGAGGTTTGACCATTTTCATTTTATTCTATAGTTGAAGTACCCTTGTGCAAGACACCCAACATTTGAACGAACAAGCCTTTGAACTAACAAGGGGACCCACAATGAACTTGGCTACCAAAGACAACTTTTATTTCCCGTACTAGTCCAGAAAGAAAAAAATACAACCACAATCATGCATTAACAGAAGTGCTTGTTCTTTTTCTAAATACACTGACCACGATGAAATTCTGAAATCTTGAGTCCATACAAGCAGGACTTACTTTAACTATGTACAAACTGCCTCGTACAATACACGCAATGTACACAGTGAAACGTATGTCTCCATCCCGGGATCTCCATCCAATATGTATTAATCTAGAATAACAATTTGCAAGTACTCCTTTTACAGTCGTGGCATTTACGTTGATCACACAGCTTGCAGGTGGTCAGTGGGCAGATCATTTCACGTTGTGGAACAGTTTGTGGGATACCTGTGTAGACAAGGTGAATGAGGAGACATTAGGAGACACAGAAAGAATCCGGTATCTTCTCTGCTTGTTCTCTGCACACGTACACAGTGGTCGCGCGCATGCAGGAAGTCAAAGAGCTCTTCTGTGCATTCCTCTGTCGTGTTGGATTTGGAGTTGACGCGGGTCTCGCAGAGCTCCAGACGCTCCTTTAAGTGCACGCAGTGTTCCGTCTCCTCACACTTGGCACGGATTGTTTCTAAAGGGTCCTGGAGGAGACAAAAAAAAAGTGTATTGAGTTAAATACAATGCTAGCAAGTAACTTGTGAGTATCTGATTTATCACGTTTGATTAATTGAGTAGTTGGATTCTTTGTGTCCGCTTGGGGTCGCCGCATCCTCACGTTCTATCCAGTTGGTCCAAAATGCTGCTGCTCACCTTCACACATTAGCTCATAGGAGGGAGCACATAACTCCAATTCTGGCCTCCCTTCATTAGCTCCCTGCAGATTTTAGAGTTTATTTTCAAATTAATTTGTCTTTAAATCATTAAATGGTCTCATCTCAATTTAGCTCCCTGAACTCCTCCACCACTACCGGTCCGGTGCCACAGTTCAGAGAATGAAAGAATTTGGATAATTTTAAGTTAAACAATGGCTGTAAATGATGACTTGATTATTAAAATAGTCAAACTAATTTGATTATTTATCATTGGTCAATTGACAGATTCATGTTGACACCTCTACTTATTAGTTTGCATTCTTCCATTTCTGAAAATGTACTACACTGTAATCACATGCGGTAGCCAGCCACTCTGGGCAAAAATAAACCCTATTCTTGAAAACAACTTTTCAGGGTCTCTGCACTGATCATGGTCATTCCTATAAAATTTCTAACATGGTGATTAGGGACCGCTGAGGAAGCTTGTGTGTGGAATAGGGTACGGAGTCCCATCGTGATACATGAGTCAAACATTAGAACATACCACCAGGTCTGCCTCTTCTTCCTCCTCTTCCTCTTCAGAGGCATCTTCTTCCTGGTAAACAAGGGCGTTTAAAAAATGAATGAGAATGTTAGTGTCATGCATTTAAAGAAGGAACAAAAATACTACACCTAGACGTTCAAGAGTGATATAGGTAGCGGTCAGTGCAGCAAAATAAATATACACATTGAGGTTGTCATCTCGTTACTTTTTTGATGTCATCACATTTTGAACCCAACACCAGCCTGATTTATGAACCAATGAATGTGTAACCTTATCTACGGTGCAATACAGGTTGAGTCTTAAAACACACTCTAGCGGCATCAATTCCGATTTAGTCCTTTACCTCGTCTTCGGGATCGCCGGTTGTGAGCATTTTTCTTTCAAACACCATGATTACTACTCTTAAATTGTACAAAGACTTGCCAGAAACAACTTTAGTCCTTGAGCGCTTCCTTTTGCAGCCACCGTCGACTCGAGGACACAAGGGTCGGTCACTCACAGGAAACGTTGGGAAGGCTCACCGGAAACACCGCATCATTGGTCAAGTTACATTGACCGATGTTACTATAATCCAATTGAATACGGACGTTATGTTTAGTGTCCCACCTACTCCAAGTAACGTCATCCAGAACCATGTGTAGACATAGGAGTTTCGCGCCGGACAGAGATAACTGACGTACCTCAAACAATGGCGCTGTGTTCGGATGTTCGATTTTTAATGCGAAAAATTCGAGATTTAAGATGTTTCACGTCCAGAGGGCATCGAGTCAAAGGGAAATGGGTATGTGTAAAACGCGACTCATACCATGTAACTCTGACGAGCAAGAGATGTATGCAGCTGTCAGGTACGAGTCCGAAAGTTAAGACATGTAATGGTGACATTCTAGTCTGAAACGCTTAGTTGGAAAAAAAATAAGATCAATGTCGGTTGAGTTCAGAAAACTATGACCAATCGTTAGCAAAATTAATAAACACATCTCTAAACAAATCTCTCAAAATATCAAAACAATCGTCACAGTACAGTATTCCAGTCACGACAATATTAGAAACACTTTTTAGTATTAGGGTGTGAAGTTCCACACGACTGAAAGCTCCCATTTAATTTCTGGTGGTGTCCCTTTAAGCACTTGATTTTGAAAGCTGTTCAGACCCTACTTCATTTTTTCTGTATTAGGTTGTGAAGTTCCACACGACTGAAAGCTCCATTTAATTTCTGGTGGTGTCCCTTTAAGCACTAGATTTTGAAAGCTGTTCAGACCCTACTTCATTTTTTGTTGACAGGCTACTTCTCGCCCCAAGTACCCACCTACCACTTTAGCCTTGCAGCATTTTGACGTCACTTACAGCAGTCAGCTGGGACATCTCTGGCCATCGGTTCGAGTTGCTTTGCTTTCGGAGAGAAAGTACGGCGCCCTGCTTAATAATTTCTCCTTAAATGATGTAGAGGAAGATCTCGCATCCCAAGGATGCAGAGACTTCGTCACAGACACAGACAGAAAAGGTGGGTGTGAAGCAATGCAATCAATCTTCCTGTATTGAAACTATCAAGTAACAATTTATTTGTGTTAGTGTCTAAAAAGGCTTTCTGTTCTTCTGCTGGAATGTTTTTTTTTTTTTTTTTTTGGGAGCATTTTTAGTTATCTCCAATTGATTGTGTCTGCAGAACATGTTAGCATGGAACAAGACCCAGAAGTGGAATTCAGTGAAACGTCTGATTCTACATCTGTGGAGCAACGTGACACTTTCGGGCAGCATCAGTTATCGCAACCACACCTCAGCCCTACCATCAAGTGTTTTGTCTTTCCAAGAGGAGATATCACTCGTTTCAAGCCTGCTAGGTGCGATTATTGATATATTGTATGTTGGATGTGACAGAGTTACTGAATTGTAGTTCAAGCCCGCGAGCATTTTTACTTGGTCTCAATTCTGTTTTGCCCCCTTCAGACCAGACTCCTCCGGGTTATTGGGCTACTACTTGATGGATGCGGCGTCAGTGTTGCCTTGCCTTGCACTCGATGTTCACGCGGGACACAACCTGCTGGACCTTTGCGCTGCCCCAGGAGGCAAGACTCTCGCTTTACTGCAGACCCAGGCCATTAGTAAGATAACGTCGTTTTTCTGACACACTCTACAGGGTCTTCCAAAATATTTCCATTGCAATCTGAATATCATATATAGTTTTCCTTGTTGTCTTCCCATTGCTCGTGCGTGTTATTATTCATCATGGAAAAAAAAGTGGAACTTGAAACTAATATTAAATTGAAACCTAGCTAGTTTTTACACATCTCATTAAAGTTTGACATAATTTGAGCAAGAATTAAGTTCATCAGTGGTTCTAAATGTGTGTGACACTAGTGGTATGTGGAAAAGGTTTTTGTTGAATTGACTTACTTTTATTATTTTTTTTTCATTCATCTGTACATTCAAGGGTTTTTGTGTTTGAATGATTCCTCTATATCTCGGACATCACGACTAAAGAAGGTGCTCCAAAGTTACCTCCCGAAAGAACTTTTAACCCGTGAGAAGCTTCGCATCACTTCCTTCGACGGCACCAAATGGGGAGAAATAGAACAAAATACTTTTGACAGAGTAAGGCTCTTTGCGTTCATCTTTGCATTGCATTAAAAGCTCGCCAGTCATACCGCTCACACTTTGTTCTCTTGGGTTTTTATTTTAGGTCCTTGTGGATGTTCCCTGTACCACAGACCGACATTCCCTCATGGAGGACGACAACAATATATTCAGTAAGAGCAGAACGGGCGAGAGGCGAGGATTGCCGCAGCTACAGTTGCAACTCCTGCTGTAAGCGCATGACGCACATTTTTCACACGCCATCTCGGTAGAGCTGTGACGATTGTTTCTAGGGCAGTCACTGGCAAAATGCCGTGGTTGGTTATCACTTTGAATCCATGGATTTAAAATGATATGAGTACAAGTCAAGGAGAAAATGTCTGTAAACTAAAGACAAATATGTCGTCTTGCAGGGCGGGAGTGGTGGCAGCGTGTCCGGGTGGGGAGATCGTTTACTCCACCTGCACGCTTTCTCACATCCAGAATGTTGGTGTGGTCGAACAAGCCATCCACTTGGCACGGGAGAATCATGGCATCCATCTTAAGGTCAGTATAAGTCAGGGCTGGGGAACTCTGGTTCCGCAAGAGCCATATCCTCCTTGTTTTAGATCCCTCCCTACTCCAACAGACCTGATTCAAACGATCAGCTCATCAGCTGTAGAAGCCTGAATCAATCATGGTGAATTGATTGGCTCTCGAGGAACCGGAGTTCCCTACCCCTCGTGCAGGCCAACACACGCAGCACAAAAGTGTAGAGGAAGATGATCGTCTGGTTCAATTATGAGGGCGTATCTTTGGACTTGACTTTAGTTTCTCCCTGTATAGGTGGTTGACCTGCGGCCACTCGCACACATGTTCCGGAATACCTTTCACTTCGCTTCTGACGTCCAACTGGGTGAGCTGGTCATCCCTCATTTAGCTGCTAATTTTGGACCCATTTATTTGTGTAAACTGAAGAGGCTCTCCTAGTGTAGGATTATGTGGTTGGACACTAAATGACCTTGGTACACTTACATTTTACACATATCGGCATGAACTTTTTCTGTGTGCGTGTGTGTGAATATATGAATGTGCTGTGCATTTAGCTCATCACAATAAAATCCCAGGCAAGAGTAATGTGCAAGTAGCGAGCCGGAGAGTAATTTGGAGTGCCTCGTGCAAGGACTTAATCTTCCATTTGCTATCCTTGAGGAAAGATAACAACGGTCGCAAAGTTCAATACACAGAAAACTTTATTGGCCTATATAAGGCGCCTTTATAAAAGGAGATTTCAAAATGGTGAAAAATCAATCCAAACCAAAAAAAGAAAAAAAGCAACGGGATTCTTCGTGTTGCACAGTTTGCAATAGTGGTACACAGGCTCCCTCTCATGGTTTGCAAAAGAATTACTGGATTTAATGCAAATGAAATTTACAAATAAAACACACAATACAATCAAACATAAGATTATAAAAGGGGATTTCAAAATGCTGAAAAATCAATAAAAAAACCAAAAAAAAAAAAAAAAAAGCAACGGGATTCTTCGTGTTGCACAGTTAGCAATAGTGGTCCACAGGCTCCCTCTCATGGTTTGCAAAAGAATTACTTGATTTAATGCAAATAAAATTTACAAATAAAACACACAATACAATCAAACATAAGAATGCACCGTGAAGCATCTTGTTTTCACTTTTTTTTAATCCAGTACTGTATATATTTCCAATTATTTTTTTTTCTTGTAAATACAGTTCAGTTGTATTTAACTTAAGTACAACAAGTTTGTATTCAAGATGACTTTGTTTTAAAAATGTCAGTCTTATTTAACTCATCAGCAATACATTTTTAATTGAAACATTGAAGTTGGTATTTTCCTATATTGAAGCGCCATAATAATGTTCAAACTACATCATGTTACAGTGGCTCGCAAAAATAAATACACCTTTAAAGAATAAAATCTCATTTTTTATGAAAAAGCCTACTGTGTTTCTGTATTTAAACATTGGCTTTTATGATGAAACAAATACTTGTGCATCTCTGGGTTTTAAGGATTTGTACTTTTGTGTTTTATTGGTAGACAATTTTGCTGAATTATTTTTCAAAAAAAAATCCACGTTTTATTGCTTTTTGTTGTTGTTTTCGCAGTCTCGTAATACCATCAAAATACAGTAAATTGTCAAATGGATTTTGTATTGTGTATTCTTTGCCCACTAGAGGCCACTAACGGCCTTCCTGTAAATTTGATACTCGATAAAATCAGCAAGTCCAGCATTTTCTCCTTCTCTCTGTCACATGGTCAATTCAAGATTAATATACCGGATAAGAAATCACATACACGCATTTCTCTTGCAAAAAAAAAAAAGGGCACCCTCTTTCTGCTCCCGATTTAAGGACGACTGCCGATCCATCAGATTTCTGCCTGATAATATAGCAGGAGGTCATAATGAGCATGCAAGGCAATGACTTATTTGACCGCTTCCAAGTCTGCGCCGCTATCATTAGAGCGTCGCATCGACTTTTGTTTTGCATTGACATCACTCAGAGGTGAAATGTACCCTAATGTGAGCTTCGGAGAGGTGTCTCACATTTTCCCATCACACCACAGATGACCCTTTATGTTCTCTCGGCCAGGCAATGTAGCATGAAAAAGGTGTGAGAGTGCGTGTGTGTGTGTGTGTGTGTGTGTGTGTGTGTGTGTGTGTGTGTGTGTGTGTAGAATGCAGAGGGAATTAATGACACATAAAAACTATTTTTGTATTGACTGCTTTTCGTCTCCGGGGGCCTAGAGTGCCCGTTCACATCTCTTGTGATTACCTAAACGTATTGTAAATATGTGTTTCCTATGGGCCCTTCCATAAATTTACATCTTTTAACACTCAGGAGACGGCATGCTGTTAGAGATCAGTTAGCGCTCCTTTCTGCTTGTCTCGACTTTATTGAATTGGCCAATGAGCCGCTGTGCGGTTGAGTCTCTGTCTATAAGCTTGCCGTAGACAGACATATGCCATGTATTAAAAAAGACAAATATCATGGTTTTAAGCTTGTGAGGACTGCATTCGCAATTTCTCTGATGCCTTTTTTTTTCTCAATAAAGATGCAAAACGTTCTCATGGTCTTACAAAGAGTGCCTCTGAACAAATATATGACAACTCATCTTTTCCACTAAATTATGTCTGTGTAATCAGATTGTGACCATGTTACTTTTTCTTGGGCTTTTTTTTTTTTTTTTTGAGGAAGTTAAAACCTAAAATGTAACAATAATCACGGGCATGCTGAATATTCTTTATACTTTGTGAAGACTGATAAATATTGCTGCAGCTGTGTGAGAAGTTTGTGACCGTCTCCATGTGTATTTGTGTGTCTAGTATTCTGCCCCCAGGTGGACATTGTGCGCACACCAGAAGGAGCAGCACAATGTCCGTTAAATTGGGGCAAAAAAATAAATCTAACATGAATACTTTACTTTCTGTTTATTTACAGTGGACCCCCCCCCCCACACATACCCATAGAGTCACATATTTGTGAATATTGTAAAATATTATTTTTTGGGGGGGGGGGTTGTCTTTCTTCCCATTTTGTCCCATTTTTCATGGAAAAGTGAATGTTCATCAAGCAAGCAAAAATGTTATTATTCCCCCAATGCATTTTAATGTGAGTCACTTATACATTTTCACCATTCCCGGGTCCACTCGGTTTTATTCCTTCATGTTGTCCTAAACTACAATATTCCAGAGCGCCGTTTTTCATTTGTTGCGAATGGCATTTACATTCATTTCTAAGGGAAAAAAAATCTGCAAATTGGTGAATGCAGGAGTCCACTGGATATCCTTTCTGAACCCAGTCCCTCCTTTCTGACAATTTTTTTTTTATATTGTAAATGTGTTTTGTTGTACCATGTGTCATTTTACCAAGAGCAATTCTCCTGATCTAGCGACAAACTTTTTTTAGAGTGCGTGCGTCTTTTTCAGAGGCCCACATTAGAAATGCAACCGTAAATTTAGTCTGAAGCCAGATTAGAGAGCGACAGAATGGAGGTTTTTCTTCTCTCTAAGAAGATTAGCCGGGAGGGGCGAGATGGCAGTCGGGGTGTTTAAGAAAGAAAAAAAAAAAAAGACAAGAAGAAAATAGAAGATGAGCTGGAACTAATGGAGGGTGGGCCAGGATGCAGTTCAGCCACCTGTTGTTCTTTATTGCTTCTCCATAACTTTTCTGTATCATTACTTCCAAAGATTCGAGACGAGAGTTAGGTGCTTTGCGTTCCGTTGGGTATTGTTTACTCATGGGCATGTTTAAGCCTTGCAGCTGCGGTCCAGATTGTTCTCCCCTTTTTAAGTTCCTGCGGGCGGTTTCCAGGAGAGCTTTGATGTGTATCTGGCCAATGCACACTATTAGAGGGATTTCCCGGGGCCTGACAGCTCAGATAATATGCTGCGAAATGGCCATGCCAGTGAGCTAAAAGAATGCTGGAAACAGGATTAGGATCATTTTCTGGCAGACCTTGTCACCTTCTCAATCGGCCGTGGTTTCTTACGCTGGCACTTTCCTTTCTGGCTATTGTTAAAACCTTTAAGGGAACCATGGAGAGGAGGCAGAGAGGGAGAGAGAGAGAGGCATTGAGTGAATGGTACACTAAGATTTTTGTATTGGGAGGTCTGCTCCGAGGCGTTCTGAATGTAGCGCTGGTCCTCCGGGGGCTTGTACATAAACTTTCTAGCATTACTTTATGGTGTATGTGCTGCATTAGTTCCCTGTTGTGCTGGATCTGGCATCGAAAATTATTCAGAATACTCGTTGTAATAGAGTACAAGTGGGAGTAAATCCCACTGTGTGCCAGTCATCAGTAAATCGAAAGTCTTAACTGTTTCTAAAGTTTCAAGTGACGAAAATCAAGCAGGTCATGTACTATAGCTTCTGAACCTAATTTCAAGCAACTAATTTGATTTAAACATCATGTAAAGTGAAAACAAACATCTTTTAAATTTGGCGTGCCACACGGAAGAGTATTAAGAACCTTAAAAAATAAGAAGAAGAACTCAAGCAGTTGCCTCCGGTGTTGAACCTTATGGGCGTGTCCGCTAATTGCGCTGATATCACATACCGCTCACCTGTCGACTCTCAATCAAATACTGCATTTGAAAATGGGTGCTACTTTGTCTAGCATCTTTCTTAAGACTACATATAACTACCGCACGGAAGAGTATTAAGAACCTTAAAAAGTAAGAAGAACTCAAGCCGTTGCCTCCGGTGTTGAACCTTATGGGCGTGTCCGCTAAATGCGCTGATATCACACACTGCTCACCTGTCGACTCTCAATCAAACACTACATTTGAAAATGGGTGCTTCTTTGTCTAGCATCTTTCTTAAGACTACATATAACTACTTGTTTGATTCGCAAAAATAGATCCACTTCAAGTGTCCGGTGGCTGGAAAATGTGGCTTTTTCACATCGTGACAATGAGCCACTCTCGAACGGTCACGGCAGTCTGAAGCTCGCGGTCCACATGTTGGCTGTCTGTCGGACTTCAAAAAAAAAAAAAAAAAAAATCCTTTCACCTGCTCACTCTTCCACCTTTCTCTGTATGATGTGCATGTACTCACTGCTGACAACGAGGCACTCTAAAACGGTCACGGCAGCGGATTATCCGAAGGGAAATTCATTTTTGGGGTTTAGGCATAGCTCGCTAAGTGCACATCGCAATTGTGCCAGATAACAAAGGCACTCTAGTTCTTGCGCAGTGGCGGAGGGAGCGACTTGTTTCAGTTCAAAGTTGTGTCATTGGGCTCCGTTTTAGCCACAGCCACAAAAATCAGGGTAACTGAAACCTATGTTAATGCTGAATTTCTCATTCGGTCTCTGTCTTACACGCCAGAAAATAGTGCGGGTGTACCTAATGAAGGGGCCAGTCGGTGCGGGTGTTGTGTATGTGGCTTTAGTGGTGAAAAGCAGCCTGATCCAGCTTCAAGGGCACTTGACCCTGCAGCAGGACAATCTTTAGCAATCCCTGTTCAGCCCGCGGGCATGTGTGTTGTAATGTGTGTGTGTGTGTGTGTGTGTGTGTGTGTGTGTGTGTGTGTGTGTGTGTGTGTGTGTACATGCGAGAACATTTGGGACTGGAGTAGTGTGTTATGTTAACTGGTCTCGGGCCTCTTGGGAGAAAATCATGGCGTGTACCTACACAGGCTGCGGATAACAAGGACATGAGAGAACATTTGGGACTGGAGTAGTGTGTTATGTTAACTGGTCTGGGCCTCTTGGGAGAAAATCATGGCGTGTACCTACACAGGCTGCGGATAACAAGGACATTCACGATGTGATCATATCAGAAATGTAGTCAGAATGCCCTTGGATGAGAACACATGCTTTATTTATTTATTTTTTTAAATGGGTGTGATGTAATGAAACACAACAAGGTCGGGGTGATGTGTTATACTCCCATTAATGCTGCTAATCGGGTCACCGCATTATCTCAGCTTGCTTTTGTACATTTTTTTTTTTTTTTTTGCTTAATTCATGATCATATCAGAAATTGCTCCAAGCAATATTATTTACACAGTAGAAGGAGCAATGTCGTTTTTGCGCTGGAAGGGCAAGGCCGCATTTTAGGGGATGTCCCAATGTCTCCCCATATGTGTTTGCGTGTGTAAGAGTGTGTGCGTGTGTTTAGTTAGCAGCGGGTGGGTGGGGTGGGGGAGGGTGCATTTTGACAAACCATGCTGTTAAAGATATAATAGCAGCATAATCACCGCCCCAGGCCGTCATTCTTCAGGATAATGGCCCGCTTATTCATTGGGGACGGCTTATGGCTCCCCTTTTTTTTTTTTTAAATTCAAACCACTTTTCACTCATCGGAAGATTTTCTATGTTTTGGATCGTTTTGTTTTTTTGTTTTTTTTTTGGGGCCTTTATTGCATCCCTTCATCATCTCTGGGATGACTAATTTCCTCCTGTCGCCACTCTGCAGCGAATACTGAATTACTGTCCCGCTTCACTCTACAAATGGTAATTGCAGCCCCGATGTTAAGTCGAAAAAATGAGTCACATTTATTTCAGGTGCTAGGAATTAAAAAGATTTAAGTGTTAAGGTTTAAAAATAAAAAATGAAGCACATTTTTTTGCACAATAAATTATAAGAGTAACTAGAATAAAGCTTGTGGGGAAATCTGTGCACAAGATGTCATAACATCACAATTAATGTCGGAAAGTGCTTTGTATAAAGTAAAAATGAAACGTTGGAAGAACTTTAAAAAAAATGTAAAGTGTGACAGCTAATTTCTTAAGTGTGACTGAGTGTAAATAATTTAGTGTAACGTGAAACGTCAAAGTTCTTCATATCGATTTATGTCTTAGTTGGCTAAATTGAACAATATTAACATGAATGAAATCCTGAAATAATGCTGATAATAATGAAACAAACGCACCCTGCAGACAAGTTTCCAATATAAACATCTTCAAGCAGTTTTTTAAAATTTATTTACAGATATTTTTCAACAACACAAAGTCAACACTGTTTGGGAAGAGGAAAGGAAACATTTGTCCTCTACATTTTACATTCTAATCTATCTACCACATACCGCGGGACCAAATTGTGGACAAAGACGCAGGGACAAACGGCAACAGTCGAACAACCGCACTCAAACAGAACATTGAAGTCTTCAGGCCCAATCAATCGCTGAAATGATTTTTGCCTTCTTCAAGCTTTAGTGTCCCAATGCAGAAAACAAGAACACAGCTGCCGGCACTCAAGTCCAGTTTGGCTTCTTTCGAATCAGTTCCAAAAGCAGAACCATTAAATTGATCGATCCATAGAGGGGGAAGGGGCAGGTGGGATCAGCAAATACAATCTTACAGCTAAAAAGACTTACAGGAGTACATCAGTTTTATAACATAGTACAGTTTTTACAATTATTAAGATAGATTTTATATTTCACATATTAAAATAATGTGTGTGTGTGTGTGTGTGTGTGTGCGTATGTCTGCCCATTAAATAGCTAAATTGCTCACTTTTAATGATGCCGATGGTGGCTTTCTTTCCATGTATGCTGTCATGCCTGACAAGTTGCGTCCACTATACAGTACATTGCAAGTGTTCAAGTATTTTTTTTTGTTTCTTTTCAACAGCTTTTCACAAGATATATCTGGAGCCCGAGTCATGACATGGAGGGGGTGCGGGGGGGTGTAGATTGCTCATTAAACCGTGACCACAACATAGATATAAAAATGAGTGTGAAATACGAGTTTGCGGCCACAAAATAGGTACAACGCAAGTCCCAAAGTCATTTTTTGGGAGGTTTAATATCCTTCCCATGAACAACGTGGACGTCTGGGTGAGCAAATGGAGAGCACCTGCATTAAACACTGTCTGAGGTCACCAAGTCGAACCTTTGCTATGGAGCCACAGCTAGTTTGTAGCCGTCAACTAATATTTTGTGCATATGTGATACTTTTTATCATGGCCACAAATGAGTATTTTGTGTGCACGTAATACATATTTCGTGGCCAAAAAATAGTATTTTGTGGGCACATGATACCTTTTTTTTGCGGCCACAAATTATCATTTGGTATGCATATTATATATTTATCATAGCCATAAATGACAATTTGATCAGCATATTTCATGGCCAAAAATGTGTTTTTTGCACGTCGTATCCATTTCATGTCCACAAATTGGGGGGAAAAAAAACTTTCTATGTATATTGCAGCAGTGATTTAAAACAAAAAGTTCTGTGTCATGTCTGAGGCTATGTAACTTTTATCTTCCGATCACCACGCTGGATCCCTCAAAAAGTGCCTGATATATTCACATTAATTTTGTAAACATCACATGTTCTTGTTTAACTTTTTTTTTTAAGACTTAAATCATCAGCGTCCTTGAGTCAAAGCGTTCCCTTTGTGTTTGTTCACTTCTCATATTCTTTCCCCAAGGTTTCACTGATTTTTTTATCTCGAGTTCAAAGCAGCAGCCGTTGATGCTTCTTCACTAAGTTGTGCATGCCGTCCCCCCTTTCCTCGCTTTGTCTACGCGAGGAGGAGAACATTTAGCTTCAGACGCTGACCGAAGCTTTCCATCCAAGTGGAACTCTCAGTTGGACAAGGTGTCTAGTCCCAAGGAGGCGGCATGCTGTTTGGCCCTCAGCCGCAGGTTCTCAATGCTGGTGGTCTTGCTGTTGTGGCTGCTCAGTCCCCCCGCGGCCGACGCCTGCAGCAGCGGGCTGTTCCAAACCTGCTGGGCATGATGGGACAGCGACTGGTAGTAAGACTGGCAGGGGAGAGTGCCTAGCGGCGCCGGGGGCATGTTGACGTTCATCCCCAGGTAGGGGAGCGAAGAGGGGGCGGCCAGGTCGAAAGCAGGGTAGTGCACTAGGTTGTTGGTGGCGGCCATGTGCTGGCGGAACTGCTCCTGCAGGCGAAACAGGCTCAGGGGGGAGGAGGAGTACGAGTGGTTCTGGGAGAGCGGACCGGCGCCGCCACCGCCAGCCAGGCCGCTGCCGCCGCTGGACGAGGAGGTCGTCACGGACGGAGAGACGAGAGGTGAGTCTGTACACAGAGAAGATCACTTTAGAAAAAAAAAATCATTCATTCATGGATACTTTCCTATTGACGTTCACAATTTGCAGTTGTTTAGATAGTGTTCAGAGTTTGTGAAAGGACGATCGCCCAGTCCCACCAATATTCCCTTCGTTGTATACATCTCAATCTCAGCCAAAATTGGGATTGCTTGCTTCAATTTTGAAGTTAGCAAATCATCTTTTGACTGTGTAAACTTGAAAGGAACCTCCGTATGATTCCGAATGTGGCCTTGTTTTTTTCTGTCGCGCATCATCGTTTTATCATCATAATAATGATAAGGATGAAAACAATCAGATAATGTGATACAGTAAGAGACAGCATTTGGTAATATTTCTGAATGAAGGGTGAGATTCAGCAACGGCGGGATTATTTTTCTGAAATGTCATCGGTATAAATGGCAGCACGGTAAAAACCATATTGCGGAAGCATACGTAAATTAAATTTAAAAACTAAATGAAAATATCTTTAAAACCTGATGAGGTAGAAACAAGTAAAGACATTTTTAAAATCAATATGAAAAAGAATTTTCAGGACACATAAAGCCACCTCTGATTAAAACTTGCTGTTGATCAATATGTGTGCTCAGTCCTTGTTAGGTGAGCAGGAACATAATCCAGATGATTTTGGGCGACAGTTGGATTACAACCTGCACTGTTCATTGCTTATTATTATTAGTATTATGAATGTAAGAAAACTTTTATTTGTCTCACAATGGAGAAATTCCCAATTTTTACTCAATTTATCTAACTATATATATAAAATGATTATTTTTGAGTGCTACAGTGAACCCTCACCTATTTGAGGTTTGCTATTTCCGAATTAACCTATTTGCATTTTATTCTGTTGACCCTATCCTCAACTTTTCAAGCTCTTTTCTAACGCGCTGAAATACTACAAGGCGCTCTAAAGCGGCCACACCAGCATGAAACCCCTGTGCACATACTGGCTGTCACGTTGGAGTCCCAACCACCACATCACAATCCTGCTCTTCCCTCTTTATTCTCTCCACTATGCACGTGCACTCATAGCTGACAACAAGGCACTCTAAAGCGGCCGAACCAGCCCGAAGCCCCAACCCACATGCTGGCCTTCAAGTCAGAATTTTAAAAAATTATTTTTCTCCCCTCTTTGCTATTCTACATTTCTCTGCATAAAGACCAAGCATTCACGACCAACAACGAGGCACTCTTGAGCATCCACACCAGCGGGCTATCAAAATGGAAGTTGCATTTTCAGGGTGCATGGTTTTCAGTCTTTGCACATGCTTTCAGCAATTAGCTTCCAGCATGTATGAAATATTTAAAGACAAATGTTTTTCTCACTTGAAATGTTCTTCTCACCTGCTTTAGGGCTGAGTCTTCTGCAGGGTGAAGACACGTCTCCCGGTGTCAGCGCTCTCTCGCTGTGCTGACATTTATTCTCATCCTCCTTATCTGTGGCGTTGTCCTCCGTCGCAGACTCGCTGCCGGACTGCTCGGCCGACGTGACATTCAGTTCCATGTCCGGCGGGACCGGGCGCACCGCCGGACCTTCTGTGTCCAGAGAAGCGGAGGTGGATGGAGGTAACTGCGGGTCAGGAAGGACGGTGGGGGAGGGTGCAGGAACGTCCTCCTTCTCAGCTCCTCCTTCGGCGCCCGTTTCCTTCTGTTTCTGCAACTGCTCCTTCTGGAGGCTGCGTTGCTTCTTGCGGAACTTGGCTCTGCGGTTCTTGAACCAAACCTGGTGATGAAGCAGACGATGCATTTGGTGAGTGCTGTTTTATTGGCTCAATATCAAGTGTTCAAATGAACAATCGTCACACTGTTGAGTGAACTCTAAATTTCAAGGCAACGATTTTTTATCAAATTTGAAGTTGGGCAATTCAATAAAATAGTTTTAAGTTTTGCTCATGTGAAAATTGGATTTCCCGTATTTGCAACAAATCAACAAGAGGAAACAGAACTAATTGTCCTTTGTATTGCCCCCCCACCCCAACCTTAAAGATGTACCGCTAAATCAAAACAACTTGGTTGCCTTGTTGTGCGAACTAACACCGTTGTTTAAAAAAAAAAAAATGTCAATGATTTACATTCTAAAGTTGCCCAAACCTAAACTACTGTTTTAGCCCCCCTCAAAAATACAATTTGTGTTTTTCACAGTACGGACAATTTCTAAATTGTTCCTGAATGTTGAACACAAATTCACAATACTGTCAGGGACATAAACAGCATGCTGTACACATACAGTATTTCTATAAACAGAGAGGCGTCTTTCTATACAGGATACATATTTGACCTCCATGCATTCTATATTAAAACATTTAAAGTCATGGTACACTTTTACGAACATCTTTCAATATAGTACAAAGCATAATGTGTGCAACTTGTTTACGCACCAAATGCTTGGACTTTGAAACAGGCCTTAAAAACATGTAATGAACTATATACAGACACAAAAAAATTTTATATATAGATGTGTAAGTGCACAGTGTGTGCGCGCAAGTTGCCCAAACCTAAACTACTGTTTTAGCCCCCCTCAAAAATACAATTTGTGTTTTTCACAGTACGGACAATTTCTAAATTGTTCCTGAATGTTGAACACAAATTCACAATACTGTCAGGGACATAAACAGCATGCTGTACACATACAGTATTTCTATAAACAGAGAGGCGTCTTTCTATACAGGATACATATTTGACCTCCATGCATTCTATATTAAAACATTTAAAGTCATGGTACACTTTTACGAACATCTTTCAATATAGTACAAAGCATAATGTGTGCAACTTGTTTACGCACCAAATGCTTGGACTTTGAAACAGGTCTTAAAAACATGTAATGAACTATATACAGACACAAAAAAAAAAAAGTATATATAGATGTGTAAGTGCACAGTGTGTGCGCGCCCACCTGCACGCGGGCCTCGGGCAGGTTGGTGCACATGGCCAGCCGCTCCCGCATCACCACGTCGGGGTAGTGCGTCTTCTGGAAGGTCTTCTCCAGGGCCTCCAGCTGCTGAGCGGTGAAGGCCGTGCGGCTCCGGCGCTGTTTGCGGTGCTGAGAGCCGTAACGAGCCTCCAGGATGATGTCTTGAAATGCGCAGCCGTTGGAAGACAAAACATTCCCCGTTTGATTTCACAGTCTGGCGACCACCGACGTATGTCTTTTTTGAATTTACCATTCAACATTTGGGGGTGGGGGGCATGTCCTGTAATCCGTGCCACCATTTAGTCATTTTTCTTAGCATTTCAATCATCGATGTTGTGGTCGCAATATAATTTCGCCCAACGTCATGCGTCGTCAGCGTGAGCGAGCGTGTACACAATTACCAGCGAGACGCTCGGCCAAGGTGAGCGCGTGCACGGAGGGCCTGTAGTCGGGCGCGTGCTGCGCCTGTTGCGCCGCCTGCTGGTGGAGGTTGTACATGGCGCTCAGGGAGTTCATGGCGTGCAGCGAGTAGCCGTTCACGCCGTAGTGCTGCATGCTGTGGGGAAAATGCAGAGAGGAAAGGAGGATGGAGGCTGCCTTTACAATCCCCCCCCCCCGACCCCAACCGTTTTTTTTGGAAATGACGCACTCGAGGGCCACCCCGGTGTTAATGCGTGCGCCCCGACAAACTTGTTATCCATTAACATCCAATTATGGCATTGCTCATTCCATTAATTATACAAAAGGCTTTTAATTGGGGGCAATTACCACTCGTTGCCATAATGAACCGTAGCGGATGCCTTCCTCACGAATGTATTCAGTGATCCCCCTCAGAAGCCCAATCCCCAAGGAAAATGCTTGCTTTGACAGATCAAGACGTTGATTAACCATCTGTAGGATAATAAAAAAAAGCGATACGATACGGCTATATGAATTTCTTTTTTTTAATTTAATTGGCTCGAATGACGCAACTTGTCCGACGCTTGCATTTTACCTAAAATCCAATCCAATATTCTTTCACCAGGGAAGAATATTTTGGTTGTCACTAACCGGCCTACAACATGCTCGATGGACCGCTTGAGGACACGATTAGATATGTATTAGAATTAGATATGTATTACTATGGAGGAGAGTGACAGAAGGGGAACTCTCCAAAGCCCAAAGCACTGCTTCAATGGCATCAGATTAAAAAAAAAAAAAGTGCTACATAAAGTATTAGTACATGAATTCTTATCCTGCAGGCAATACTGTATATATTTAATTTTCTATAGCGTCATTATTTTTGTTGTTTTATCCACTTGCCGCGGACAACTAAATGAGATCTGTAGTACACGAGTTTAAAAAAAAAAACGTCGACGATAACCCTTTGATGACATTGATATAAATGTACATGTTTTGGGATTATTTAGTTATTTTTGTACGCGGTTTTGCTGAACTGTCCTGTATCTTTCTAGTTCAAATATTTTGGTTACCTATTTTGTAAATGTATAATTTTAAAAATCATATTTAATATTATATATATCACAACTTTTTCATATTACCATATAATTTATCGAATTGCGAATTTCTCCATTGTGAGACAAATAAAGCTTTTCTTATCTTATAGTGGGCCAGTTTTATTATTTTTGTTTTTTTTTTTTGGGAGGGGGGGGGGTGTTCTGTGTAAATGAATTTAATGTTGTGACCGGGAAGTGCAAGTGTCGAGTGAAAAACAATCTCAAGCGCCACTGTAGCGAATGCTATTGTTGTTTTTGTGACAGTGGTGGTTGTCAGAATAATTATTTTTATATTATTAGCATAGGAGTATGACAGGAGTTCATATTTCACACGATTCTAACATAAGTTTGGGGAGTACTTGGGGCACTTTTCGAGTTTTTGCAGGGTTTTTTATTTTTATATTATTATTGTTTTTGTGTTTGTTGTCATTATAATTAGTATGGAACTTCCGTGTGTGTTTTGTGAGTGTGTGTGTGTGTGTGTGTGTGTGTCCATTCGGCGGCTGTTCGGGGGTCTCGAACAACTGATGGATGTGATCAGAGGGCAGTGGGGAATCGTTTAATTCGCCGGGACAGAAGGTGCTTCGCTAAACATTTACTTTCCTCCCTCAAGTATTTGACTTGAATGCCCTGCAACCCCCCTTTCCCTCCCTCCCTCCCTCCCCTCTCTAGCGGCCTCTTATCCCATCGCCCCCTGGCAACGTTTTGGCTGAGATGTATGGCTTCTCCGCGGGTCAAAATATGCATGTTGATCCCCATTTGGCTCCCCGTCTAATGGAAGTGCAAATAGGTTTCGACTGCGAGGCCCTCCATTTATCATCAACGCTGACACATTCACGGCGGAGGGCCCTTTTTATGCAATAGTTGAGAATTCCGAGTGTACTTTTAAATGCTTTCGGGGTGACAGAGTCATTGAACGACAGCCGAGTGCATCGCACAAACTCGCGGTTCTCGGTTCCGGTTGCGCAAATATTTATTTGCGGCAAACGGAGCGCGATGGTGGATCGCGGAGGGCCGCGATGTTGTCACGCATCAAAGCGGCTTGCGTGAGCGCTGCGGGCGGGCGGGCTGCGCGATGCTTCGATTAGCAAAGCGTCATTATGGAAATTGGCGTGTACAGTGTGCACGTCTTTTGATCCGAGTAAATGAGGAAAAATTGTATTTGGCGAGCAGCCCTCAGGGCCCGGCAATCTGCTCTGCGCCCGGGACGGTCACATAGGGTCAAGACTCGCTTTTCTTTTACCGTCCGGATTTGCAATGCGGAGCTTAAAGGTCATTTTAATATTTCGTAATTTTTTTAAACTATACTTTCAAGATAGCAATGGAAAAAAAAAACCCGGAACGAGCTTGGTCAGTTTGACCCAACTTTGAGTTGTTTTGATATAAAAACAACCAAATTTTCTTTTTTTTGGCGTGGGGGGGGGGGTCTAATTGACCCATTAGCTGGGTCATTCCATGTTTTGGCCAACGCTGTTTTTGACGCAGCACTTTTCAGAGTGTGGAAATGGGCAGAATTTGAAAACGTGTTTTTTTTTTAACGTTTTCCCCAAAAATATTAATCTAAAGATATGTATGGTTAAATTGACTATTTTCCTGAAAATGGATTTTAATATAAACAAGCTCTGCAAGTTATCGGGGACTTTCTGACATTTTGGACTCTGAAATACTTATTTGGAAATTCAAAAATGAACCGAGAAAGATGTTGTAATACAAATGATCTAATTTCTTAATCCCGAGCATCTCAAATGATCATTCTAAGAAGACATTCTATATATTATGAATACCACTTGACATATTTAATTGTTATGGTTGCAACTGTGAAGGATTTTATGGTTCATTTCAAATGCCTCTGTCACATTTATTCGGCTCTTTCTTTCTTTACTTTAAAATTGTGCTAAATAATTTTGAATCGGATTAGATTGGAATGAATACATTCACAAGTTTACACATACCCTTGAAGACTTTTTAAAAAAATGAGGAAATATTTTTTACATTTCATTTATTTTTTTTTTATTATCAATTATTTATGGACTCACCGCAGCATCTCATTATTTTCTTTCTTGCTCTGTTTATGCTTTTTCTGTTCATTTGAACTCCAGGGAAAATGAAGTCATTGGTTTTTCCTGATCACTCGTTATGCACATCTTACAAATTCTGCCAGGTTTGTAAATTTATTTGAACAACTGCACTGAAATGATCATCATTGCATTTCTTTACTGAAAGAAATCACGTGGGTCTACTGCCGGATAGTGAGACGTTTTCAAACAAAATTTATCTCTGGTCACGTGTGTAAATAAAACCCGGTCCAAAACAGGAAAGAGTTGATTTGGAATGTCACGTGGTTAAAAACAACGCCAACCAAATCTTTTGTGCCGTAATTAAGAAAAATCAATTTATTCATGATGTTATTTTGTGACTACACAACTTTGGCACCATCCGACCTACGTGGACTTGTAGCCTTGGTTCATCGTAAACTTAATTGGATTCTACTTAATGTCGTGTCTACATTTTTCTCAATTTTACAAAAATCAGTAACCTTGAAAAGAAGAAAAAAGTTGTGTAGAAGTTTAGCCGCAACCGTGTTAGGATTTTTCTGTTGTTTAAAAAAAAAAAAAGTATATTCTTACCTTCTAATGTCAGGAAGGTGGCACGCGATAAATCTTGTTTTGTTTTTTTTTCCCCTCCGACTTCGTCAAAAGTAGTGCAGTCAGTCTTGTTGCTTGTCTTGTCTCCAAGTCCAAAGTGTGCGCGCGTTCCCGTATCGGTGGAGACTCGTGCTCGACTCGTCCTGGTCCGAGGAGGAGACGGAGGAAGGTTTTTTATTTGGGGAAGCGTGTGGGCCGACTCCTCCTCGCTCGCTATTGGCTCCCGTGGACGTCAATCAAGCAAAGCAGCCAGTATTCGCTCTCCAGACCGAACTTCGACTTTCTCATCACGATCTTATTTTGGGCAGGTGTTGTTTTATTCTCATAGGAGCAAAAGTGGAAAAACCAACAGTAGTGTTCGCCCCTTTTCTGATTTAACGTGAAAAAAAAAAGATTATTCTAGTTTTGCACATGTTTTCCGCTGTCCCAATTCTTGATGAGTGAATGCAATCTGCATCCTTTGTGATGAGTGGGAAGAAACCTTTGGTTTGTTTGCGTTTGGGCTTTTTTTTTTTTTTTTTTAAGTGGAAGAAGAGACTTTGGAGAGATGACTAATAGATGCCGGGGTGCTGCCTCGAGACTCTCCTCCCGGCCTTGAAGGATTTGGGATGGGATAGGGAAGACAAGACGCCACCCCAGCCTCCAAAAACCCCTGTCTTAAAATGACTGCGGGTAAGAGGATTACGGCAATAATGCCCTTCTCTTCTTGAAGGGTTTTTTTCTTCCCCTTTTTCTTTCTTTCTTTTTTTTTTTTTTTTCAAGAGAGAGCGCGAGAAGATTTCTTCTCCCGGAGCAAAACCGTTTAGGTGGGGAATTAAGGGCAGCGCAAAGTAGCCTTTTAATGCATAAGCTTGCATCTTTGGTTGCAGGGAGATTCTCTCGGGAAGGGTTTGGTTGGGACAGTTTGATCTGTGACCGTGTTGGACACAAATATCAACAGGTTGGGATAGAATAGACAACAATTTCCTTAGAGAACAAAACCGTTCTTTAAGGAATTTCATATATATATATATATATATGAAATTCCTTA